CTATGGTACACGAGTGAAATAGTAAGGAATGTGTCTGAACCATTTGGAATACATGTAAATAGAGCATTCATATATGCAGGGCAATATTAAATCAATGAGAATTAGCATTCCCACAGCTTTGAAATGGGTTGGAGAGTGTTTACATTCCTAATTCCAACTGAAGGAGTTAGCATTTGGGAAGAATGTGTTTTATAAATTTCAAATATTCCTGTTTTTAAAACTAAGAAAACTGTAAAGAAGTGTTTCCAACAGAATTCACAAGGATAAATTAGAGAAATGATTAGAAAAGTGATTGAAAAACCTAGCATGAACGTAAATAGACCCTTAATATCTGTAAGGTCGTGTTAAAACATTAGGATTTTGCCTTCAAACAGTGGTGCAATGGGTAGGATAGTGTTCTATATACATAATTCCGGCTCAATGAGTTGGCGTTTTTGGAAGAATGTGGTGAAAATAACTTGAAATTCACTATAACAGACCAGTGAAATAGTATGAATGTGTATGAACCACTTGGAATACATACAAATAGAGCCTCAATATCTGAAGGGCAGTGTACAATACCTGAGAATTCATGTTAAAACAGCTGTGAAATGAGTAGAATAATGTTAACATTCATAATTCCCACACAAGTAATGGGCATTTTTTAAAAAACGTGGTTTAATCTTTTAAATTTATGATTATAAGCGCAGAGAACTGCCCGAAGGTCTTTAAATTGATTAGAATTCACAATGATAGACCAGTGAATTAGTAATGAATGTGTATGAACCACTTGGAATACATGTAAATAGAGCCTTCATATGTGCAGGGCAGTATTAAATCAATGGGAATTAGCATTCCAACAGCTTTGAAATGGGTTGCAGAGTGTTTACATTCGTAATTCCACATGAATAAGTTAGAGTTTTGGGAAGTATGTGTTTTAAAAATTTCAAATATTCCTGTTTTTAAAACCAAGAAAAATGTAAAGAATTGTTTTCAACAGAATTCACAAGGATAGACGAGAGAAATGATTAGAAAAGTGATTGAAAAACATAGCATAAATGTCAATACAGCCTGCATATCTGTAAGATCATGTTAAAACATTTAGGATTTTGCCTTCAAATGGTGCTGCAATGGGTAGGATAGTGTTTTACATACATAATTCCGGCTCAATGATTTGGAATTTTTAGAATAATGTGGGTAAAATAACTTTAAGTTCACTATAATAAACCAGTGAAATAGTATGAATGTGTATGAACCACTTGTTATACATATAAATAGAGCCTTAATATCTGCAGGAAAGTGTAAAATCACTGAGAATTCAGGTCAAACAGCTGTGAAATGAGTAGAATAGTGTTAACATTCATAATTCCCGCTCAGTGAATTGGCATTTTTTGAGAAAGGTGGTGTAATCTTTTAAAATTTATGATTATAAGCTCAGAGAACTGCCCTAAGTTTTTAAATCGATTAGAATTCACAGGGATAGACCAGTGAATTAGTACTGAATGCATATGAACTACTTGGAATACATGTAAATAGAGCCTTCATATGTGCAGGGCAGTATTAAATCAATGAGAATTAGCGTTCCAAATCTTTGAATTGAGTTTGAGAGTGTTTACATTCGTAATTCCATGTGAATGAGTTACGTTTGGGGAAGAATGTTTTTTAAAAATGTAAAATTTCCTGTTTTTAAAGCCACGAAAATATTAAAGAAGTGTTTCCAAAAGAATTCACAAAGATAGATGAGGGACATGATTAGAAAAGTGATTGAAAAACCTAGCATAAATGAAAATAGAGCATTGATACCTGTAAGGTAGTGTTAAAACATTAGGATTTTGCCTTCAAATGGTTGTGCAATGGGTAGGATAGTGTTTTACATACCTAATTCTGGCTCAATGAGTTGGCGTATTTGGAAGAATGCAGTGAAAATAATTTGAAATACTCTATGATACACCAGTGCAATAGTAAGGAATATGTATGAAAAATTGGGGATACATGTAATTTATGCCTTCATATGTGCAGGGCAGTATTAAATCAATGAGAATTAGCATTCCAACAGCTTTGAAATGGGTAGGAGAGTGTTTACATTTGTAATTCCAACTGAATGCGTTAGCGTTTTGGGAAGTATGTGGTTTACAAATTTCAAAAATTCCTGTTTTTAAAACCAAGAAAACTGTAAAGAAGTGTTTTCAACAGAATTCACAAGGATAGATGAGGGAAATGAATAGAAAGGTGATTGAAAAACCTAGCATAAATGTCAATAGAGCCTTAATATCTTTTAGGTCATTTTAAAACATTATGATTTTGCCTTCAAGCGGTTATGCAATGGGTAAGATAGTGTTTTACATTCCTAATTCTGGCTCCATGAGTTGGCGTTTTTGGAAGAGTGTGGTTAAAATAACTTGAAATTCACTATAATAGACGAGGAAATAGTATGAATGTGTATAAAATACTTGGAATAGATATAAATAGAGCCTTAATATCTGTAGGGCAGTGTACAATCACTGAGAATTCACGTTCAAACAGCTGTGAAATGAGTAGAATAGTGTTACCATTCATAATTCCCAGTCAGTTAATTGGCATTTTTGAATAAAGGTGGTTTAATCTTTTTTTAAAAAATATATTTCATTGATTTTAGAGAGGAAGAGAAAGGGAGAGAGAGATAGAATCAACAATGATGAGAATCATTGATCGGATGCCTCCTGCATGCCCCTTATAGGGGATTGAGTCTGCAACCCAGGCATGTGCCCTAGGCTGGAATCGAACCCTTGACCCTTTAGTCTACAGACCGAAGCTCTATCCATTGAGCCAAAAAGCTAGGGCTAATCTTTTAAAATTTATGATTATAAGCTAAGAAATCTGCGGGAAAGTCATTAAATCTATTAAAATTCATAAGGATAGAGTAGTGAATTAGTAAGGAATTTTTATAAACCACTTGAAATACATGTAAATAGAGCCTTCATATGTGCAGGACAGTATTAATAAATGAGAATTAGCATTCCAAAATCTTTGGAATGGGTTGGAGAGTGTTTACACTAGGAATTCCACATGAACGAGTTAGCGTTTTGGTAAGAATGTGTTTTAATAATTTAAAATAATCTTTTTAAAACAAATAATACATTACAGAAGTGTTTCCAACAGAATTCACAATGATAGGAAGGAAATGATTAAAAACGTGATTGAAAACCCTAGCCTAAACGCAAATAGAGCCTTAATATCAGTAAGGTCGTGTTAAAACATTAGGATTTTGCCTTCAATCCGTGGTGCAATGGATAGGATAGTGTTTGACATACATAATTCAGGCTCAGTGAGTGGGCATTTGTGGAAAAATGTGGTTAAAATAACTTGAAATTCAGTATAATAACCAGTAAAATGGTATGACTGTGTGAACCATTTGGAATACATACAAATAGAGCCTTAATATCTGAAGTACAGTGTAAAGTCACTTAGAATTCACGTTCAAACTGCTGTCAAATGAGTAGAATAGTGTTAACATTCATAATTCCCGCTCAGTTAATTGGCATTTTTTAAAAAAGTTGGTTTAATCTTTTAAATTTATGATTATAAGTGCAGAAAACTGCCTGAAAGCCATTAAATCGATGAGAATTAACAAGGATAGACTAGTGAATTAGTAATGAATGTGTATGAACCACTTGGAATACTTGTAAATAGAGCCTTCATATGTGCAGGGCATTATTCAATCAATGAGAATTAGCATTCCAACAGCTTTGAAATGGATTGGAGAGTGTTTACATTCGTATTTCCACCAGAATGAGATAGCGTTTTGGGAAGAATGTGTTTTATAAATTTCAAAAAATCCTGTTTTTAAAACCAAGAAAAGTGTGAAGAAGTGTTTCCAACAAAATTCACAAGGATAGACGAGAGAAATGTTTAGAAAAGTGATGGAAAAACCCAGCATAAATGTCAATATAGCCTGCATATCTGTAAGGTCGTGTTAAAACATCAGGATTTTGCCTTCAAACGGTTGTGAAATGGGTAGGATAGTATTTTACATTCCTAATTCTGGCTGAATTAGTTGGCGTTTATGGAAGAATGTGGATAAAATAAGTTTAAGTTCACTATAATAGAAGAGTGAAATAGTATGAATGTGTATGAACCACTTTTTATACATATAAATAGAGCCTTAATATCTGTAGAAAAGTGTAAAATCACTAAGAATTCAGGTTCAAACAGCTGTGAAATGAGTAGAATAGTGTTAACATTCATAATTCCCACTCAGTTAATAGGCATTCTTAAAAAGGTTTTTAAATCTTTTAAAATTTATGATTATAAGCTCAGAGAATTGTCTGAAAGTCATTAAATTGATTAGAATTCAAAAGGATATACAGTAAATTAGTAAGGCATGTGTATTAACCAGTTGGAATACATGTAAATAGAGCCTACATATGTGCAGGGCAGTATTAAATCCATGAAAATTAGCGTTCCAACAGATTTGAAATGGGTTGGAGAGTGTTTATATGCGTAATTGCACCTGAATGAGTTAACATTTTGGGAAGAATGTGTTTTACAAATTTAAAATTTCCTAATTCATGCTCAATGAGTTGACGTTTTTGGAAGAATGAGGTGAAAATAACTTGAAATTCACTATAATAAACCAGTGAAATAGTATGAATGTTTATGAAGCACTTGTTATACATATAAATAGAGCCTTAGTATCTGTAGGAAAGTGTAAAATCACTGAGAATTCACGTTTAAACAGCTGTGAAATGAGCAGAATAGTGTTAATATTCATCATTCCCACACATTTAATGGGCAATTTTTTAAAAAGGGAGTTTATCTTTTAAAATTTATGATTATAAGTTCAGAGAACTGCCCGAAAATCTTTAAGTCAATTAGGATTCACCATGATAGACTGTGGTGAGCTATTTCTGTTTCCCGCGACCCGCACGGGAAAACGACAGGTTCTTGAGCAGAGGAGCTGGGGATTAAGAAAATAAAGAAAAAACGAGACCAGACACAGAAATAGAGAAAAGCTGGGGCCAGGTGGAGGGCTGCCACTCTGATGGAGAGACAGTCACACCCACCACAGACAACACAGCGCATTTATTTACTTCCAAAGGGGAGGTTTAAGGTCAAAGGAATTTTGGGTGTACCCAGGTCCTATTCATTCCTCATTCCTGGCACAAGGACAGGATTTAGCATATCAAGACCTGGGTGGGTCAATTCATTCCTTATTCCCAGCACATGGATAAAGATAAGATATCAGTACTGATAACAGTCTCCGACATTTTGGGAGGCTGTTTTTCCGGGAGACGGCCCTGCCAGTCACCTCGGACTCAGCTGACATTAATTTAAAGGTCATCCATGTGCATTCCCAGGGGGCCCTCTACATCTCCCCCATTTTTAATTTTTAAATGCAGCTTGTGGACATCTAGTTGGATCCTTCGGATTTGAGATCGCAGGAGCTTGCTGATGACTGAAAAAGAGCAGGATAAGATTAGTAGTACACAAAGGAATCCAATTAGGTATGAGGCGATATTTTTTAATATTTCCCAAGGATTAAATTTTTTAAAATCATCCAGCAATTCTTTTGCCAATTTTGCCGGAGATATAATTTCATCTTGACTATTCTGAATGGCTTGCACATGTTTGTGTAGCCGCGCCAGGTCTATACTGATATTATTATGATTCCATATTCCCTGTAGGTGCATCTTGATTTTATTCCAATCCCACAGAGAACTGTTATAGCGGGCTGAAGTCACACAAATATATCTAAAAGCAGCATGGCATTGCAGCTGCTGTCTCAACTTGATACTTTCCAATTGACTACCTAGTCCTATCACTACAGCTTCCAAAGCATTTAGCTTTGTTTCCAGCCTTTTGTCTATATCTTCTTGATCATGGAATGTAGTTGAGGTGTTCTGAGCCAATTCATTGACAAACTTTGCATTCTGGATGCTTTGGGTCAATGCAAGAGAAGCAGTTACAGCAGATGCAATAACAGTAACTAGAGTGACAATACCAAAAATAATAAGTCCCAAAGCACGCTTTTCCCTGGACAGCTGATTGTGTAATTCCTGCAATGCTTGAAGGCCTACATCATGATACCATTTTCCTGTTATATTGGTAGGAAGCATAATAAAAGAAGGCTGCTTTAAAATTAATATATCTTCATTCAGGTTATGCCTGGAGACACAGCTGGTAAGGTTACAGTGATGGCATTGGACAGCATAATGGGTGTCCAGTCTAGTGATATTCACATTTCCAGTCACCAATACATATGGGCGCTGGACACAGGCTCGTAAGCCATAACAAGGGTTTAAAGTACATGCTCCTTTAGTGTTAGCTGAAAAGGAGCCAGTAAAATTAAGAAAATCAAGAGCAGCAGCTAAACGCCACAGATCTTTCTGTAAATTTCCTGAGTTTGTGGTTAGGGCATTACCTACAAACCCTCCTGGTGACATAGGCTCGTGGTAGGGATATTTAGCATCAAGCCTGTGGGACCAATCCAATACATACAAGTCAGAGCCAGAAATATTATGCCTCACTGGTACAGGGTTGGCACAATCTTGCCATAGAGGAAATGCTCCCAGCTCAGAAGTAGTACTATTAGGGCAGGAGGGGAGCAGGGGATATTTATCAGACAGCCATCGGGTGGCCTTAGGAAATCCTAGTTTAGTGACTGTCTGAACATATTTTCCCATATCCCAGGGGCCTTCAATGTTAGCAATGTTTGTGCCACCATAAGATGTCTTACTCTCTTGGCCGAGTTGTAAACATCCTGAAGTTCCCCTTTTTGACAAGCAAATAGGGAGCTCCCCACTAAAGCCATTATAAGTATAATCACCTTGGGAAGGAGTTATATGCTTGTCGGAGCTACCCCCAACCATATTGGTGTTATTAGTAAATACTGGCACTGAATCTCCAGTCCAGGTGGCTGGATTGACCATGGGGGGATCTGGAACATAAGTCCAGTAAATTTCTGCTGCAGCCATACTTACCTGGCAGCTGACAAGTGTCACCATAGCAAGAAAAAGGTTGGAGGGGGTTACCTGAACCCCCTGTTTCTCCACTACTTGCTGAGCATCGGAGGTCAGCTTCTTCAGTTGACCCCATGTGGGGACACTAGCTTCTCGGGTGGTCTTAGCCTGCTGCCTTACTCTTCTCTCCTTCTTTGGGGCCGATGGCTGAACTGGCGTCATCGCCGGAGATGTGATCTTCAGCTTCTTGAAAGGTGGGATGAGTTGTTCTCCCAGGTCCATGGTGATGACGCACTGCTCGTTCTGGCACCCAGATAGGGTTAGAAGCTCCTTCTGGAAAGATACAAACGTGGCCTCTTCCCCACTTCATTACTGGGTCTGGCCCTCTCCACTGTCCTGTTTGCAAATCCTTCCATCTTGCCATACCGGCAGATGCCACGACACCAGGAGTTTGGTGCCTCTCGGCTGCTGTGTGACCTTCATCGTCACAATTTAAAAAATTTAAAGTGTAAAGGGCATGATTTAACTGATTCTGTGGAGTAGGATTATACCTCTCTCCCCCTTTTTGTTTTTGTAATTGAGTTTTTAAGGTTCTATTAGCTCTTTCTACAATTGCCTGTCCCTGGGGATTATAGGGAATTCCTGTTTTATGCACAATTTGGTATTGCTTACAAAACTTCTGAAAGGAGGAACTAGCATATGCAGGTCCATTATCTGTTTTTATCTCTAGGGGCCGTACCATTACTGGAAAAGCCGCTAGGCAGTGGTTAATTACATGCTTTGCACTTTCCCCTGTTCGGGGAGTAGCAAAAATGAAACGTGAGCATGTGTCTATAGAGACATGGACCCACCGAAATCTGCCAAATTCAGGCACATGAGTAACATCCATTTGCCAGATTTGATTAGGTTTAAGACCTCGGGGATTCACCCCTAATGCTGGCACAGGGAGGTGAATAACACACTGAGGACATTGTTTGACAATTTGGCGAGCCTGCTCTCGGGAAATATGGAATTCCTTGCGCAAGGCAGAGGCATTTTGATGATGCAGGGCATGCGAGGCCTGTGCCATGGAAAATGGGGTGGTCTCCTCTACTGAGGCAACGAGACGATCTACTTCCTCATTACCTGCAGCCAAAGGACCTGGAAGACCAGAATGGGATCTAATATGGCCAATAAAACATGGGAACTGCCGTTTTTGAATAACTCTTTGCAAGGTGATAAATAGATGGAATAACTCTTCAGAGTTTGTATATCCAATGGTAGCAGTTTCAATAATTGTAGCCATTCCAACTACATAAGCACTGTCGCTATAGATGTTGACAGGTTCAAAGGCAAAGCTTTTTAAAGCATAAACGAGAGCTTGGATTTCTACTCGTTGCGCAGAGGAGTAATTTGTCTGAATTACTTTTGAACCCTTTACACTATGAAATCCAGCTTTCCCTGAGCTGGACCCGTCAGTGAAGACGGTTAGTGCTTGGGGGAGAGGTTGCTGTTTAACTATTTTTGGAAAAATAAAAGTTGTTAAAGACAAGAACCGTAAAATTTTGTTAGCAGGATAATGACTTCCAATTTGACCAGGATAGTTAGCAAGAGCCGTTTGCCAATTTATAGAATTTTGCCACAGCAAACTTTGCTGCGCTGTGGTAAATGGTACTATAATGAGGGAAGGTTCTTGCCCTACCAATTGAACTAGTCTGTACCGTGCCTTTGCTATGAGCTGAGAAACCAAATCATGAAAAGGTGTTAATACTTTGGTTGGAGAATGGGCCAGATAGAGCCATTCTATTACTCCTGAGTCCTGCCAAATGACTCCCGTGGGAGTGTGAGTAGTAGGGAAAATTAATACCTGAAGGGGTTTAGTTAAATCTACTCTTGTAAGCTGAGCAGCTTGAAGAGCAGCTTCTACTTTGGTTAAAGCAGCACCAGCTTCAGCAGTTAATTGTCTAGGAGAAGATGGTGAGGAATCCCCTCGAAGAATATCATACAAAGGAGCTAAATCTGCAGTAGTCAATTTTAATGAAGGACGGACCCAATTAATGTTCCCAAGTAACTTTTGAAAATCATTTAATGTTACCAATGAATCCGTCCGAATTTGTAAGCGTTGAGGACGTACGGTACGTCCCTCAATTAAACTGCCTAGATATTGAAAAGGAGAACTTTTCTGTATCTTTTCTGGTGCAATACACAGTCCCATAGTTAAAAGAGAGTGTTGTAAATCTGCAAAAACTTTATGAAGAGTGTCCACATTCTCATGAGCCAACAAGATGTCATCCATATAATGGATGATGTATGCCTGGGGGTGCTGCTGCCTTATGGGGTGGATAGCTGCATCTACAAAATCCTGGCATAGCGTAGGACTGTTAGCCATTCCTTGCAGCAGCACTTTCCAGGAGTATCTCTTCGCTGGCTCTTTAAAGTTTATTGCAGGGACACTAAAAGCAAATCGTTTACAGTCATCCGGATGCAAAGGTATAGTGAAAAAACAATCCTTTAAATCTAAAATGAGTAGTTCATAATTAAGAGGAATAGCAGTAGGTGAGGGCAGCCCTGATTGAAGGGGGCCCATAACCTCCATGGTCTTATTTATTGCTCTGAGATCTTGCAAAAGTCTCCACCCGCCTGATTTTTTCTTAATTACGAAAATAGGTGTATTCCATGGACTATAAGTGGGTTCAATGTGACCAGCTTCAAGCTGTTCTTGTACTAGAAGCTGTGCTGCTTGAAGCTTCTCTCCAGTTAAGGGCCATTGGTCAACCCAAATAGGGTCGTTAGACAGCCATGTGATTTTTGCAGCAGTCTTTTTCTGGGTCAGAGAGACGACCAAGGCCCTTAATGAAAAGGCTGCGGCTCTCCGTATCCTAACCCACTTCTCCCTTGCTGGGTGGACGTGGGGATAGGAGATAGTCTGCCTTGCTGCCCTTTTCCTAATCCTTTAACGGGATAAAATTCTTGATTTAACATTTGAGCTGTAACCGCAGCATTGGGACTCATTAGTAATACTCCCATTTGCTCTAGAATGTCTCTTCCCCAGAGGTTAATAGGTAAATGATCAAGTACATAAGGTGTAAAATATCCTGTATTTCCCTCTGAATCTTCCCATTTGATGAGCTGCGCACTCTGCTGAGGCTGAGAGACTTGGCCGATGCCTTGCAAATTGGCAGTGGCTGTATTAAGAGGCCATGCAGGGGGCCAGTGCCTGGAGGCAATCACAGAAACATCTGCCCCCGTATCTATTATTCCTAGGAAAACTTTACCATTCAATTTTAATTCTAGCTCTGGGCGCCCTCGTTTAACCAGCTGCGCCCAGCACGTTTGATTAGAGGACCCAAATCCTCTTTCTCCCCGAAGCTCTGTGGAGAGAAGTTTCCCTGCTCTATAATAGGGTAAAATTATAATCTGGGCTATCCTAGTCTCTGGAAAAATTTGAATTATGGTATTTGTTGTCTGTGCCATAACTTTAATTTCATCAGTATAGTCTTGATCTATCACACCTGGTAAAACTTGAAATCCTTTCATAGTTAAGCTATTTTTTCCTAAAATAAGTCCCATGGTGCCCTCAGGTAATGGTCCATAAATCCCTGTAGGGATTGCTTGTGGACCCATATCAGGAGTTAATACATATCCGGCGGTGGGACAGAGGTCCAATCCTGCACTTCCTGGGGTGGCGTGGTAGAGTTTCCTGACGGTAGGCCTTCCGCAGGCAGTAGTGCCCCTACTGTTTGCAACAGTGCCCCTATTGTTTGGTGGGGCCGGGGCCGGCCCCACTTGCCGTTTCCCTGACGTGAGTCAAGAGGCTGGCCATTAATGTCCGTCTGGGAGCGGCAGCCATTGGCCCAATGTTTTCCCCTGCGGCAGCGAGGGCAAAGATCTGGCTGCCTAGCAGGGAGACTAGGAGCAGAACTTCCCTGTCCCCCTGAGGCAACTTGTTGCCTGCAATTCCTAGCAAGGTGACCTGGCCTTCCGCAATTGAAACAAGTTCTCTTTTCTGAATGGTCCTTCTGCAGAGACTCTTTCAATGCAGCAGCCAAAGTCACTCCCTGAACATAGGAAGGCCCAATATCAGCACAAATACGGATGAACTCAGGAATTGACCCCTTTTTTCTGTAGGGGCGTAGAGCCTCCTGACATGTTCTATTGGCATTCTCAAAAGCCAGTTGCTTCACTAGTAGAGATCCCGAATCGGGATCTCCAATCACTCTGTCTACTGCCTGAAGCAACCGTGCCACAAAGTCTTGATAGGGCTCCTCTGGCCCCTGTATAATTTTAGCAATGTCCATGGTTTTTTCTCCCTTAGTGGGCAGCTCCCTCCAAGCCTTAGTACCACAAATACTTATCTGCTGATAAGCTTGCAAAGGGAACATCATCTGAGCCTGTAAGCTGTGATATGCCCCCGTTCCTGTTAACATTTCAAGAGTGATAGGCACACCATGTTGTTGATTTCTAGCCGCCTGCTCTGTACTAAGTTCAGTCCAATTGGATTTCCACATTAAATAATCTCCAGGGGAGAGACATGCCTTAGCCAGTGTTTGCCAGTCCAGAGGAAGCAGAGCTTCACTAGTCACAGTGTCAAGCAAGCTTAAGACAAATGGAGAAGTGGGGCCATACATGGAGACAGAGCTTTTAAACTCCTTGAGGATTTTAAAAGGAATAGGCTCGTGCACTCTCAGTACCTGCCCTGGATTGGTAGGGTCTGGCCTTTCTACGACAGGATACATTGAAAATCCTGTAACATCCTCTCCAGCTCGTCTGGCCTCCCGTAAGGTCTGCTGTAAAGGGGACAGTACCTGTGCAGGAGTTGAAATTACTTTCACATTTGGCTGTGCATCAGCTTGTAGCCGTAAAGGCCGGGTGGCTAGGGCCATTTTTGCAAAACTGTGAGCAAGATCTTTCTCATCATCTGAATCATCCCACTCACGGTGATGCTTGCCTCTCTTTTCCTCAATCTCTGGCTCCCGCTCATATTTTGGAGGCAAATCTTTGTTAGGCGGACTCTTAACTACAGATGGCAGAGCAGCAGCAGGAGCAGCGGGGGGAGGTGGAGGAGGCGCAGAGGGTAGAGGTGATATTTTTAAAGATTCGCCCTCCTCAACTGCAGGCTGTAAAGTCTTAGCTACATCCCGCTTAGGCATTCTTGAACTCGCCTGTGCTGGATCAAGACAATCACGAATCAATGGCCACAGTGTAAACGTGGGAATAGGAATCTTCTCTGGACCTTCTGCTGTGTATCGGTCACGCAACTGCTTTCCAACCTTTTCCCACATTTGAATATCCACGGTTCCCTCTTCAGGAAACCAGGGGCATGTTTCATTAATAAAATTTAAAAATTCAAGAATCTGACTACGCTTAACAGAACATCCTCGAGCTTTAAGCATACTTTTAAGTATTTGAGAGTAGAGAT